GGAGGGGAGCCCGCGGTCTGCCCAGCCAAGGGGCTTGGTGGGCACCAGCGGTGGGGAGGAGGGCCGGGCGCTTCGTCCTGCTGGTGGAAACTGGTTGAAGAACGTCGGGGAATTCGTTGGGGAATTTTGAGGATGCTAGGCAGAAAGGTAGGAATAAACCAAGGAAAAGTAGGAAGAATCTTTTTCTCGTTTATGTGCTTTTTAACATCAAGCTGTGCCCCATACCACCAGTACTGTCCTCCACCCGTTGAAAATGGGGTGTTAATGGTTGTTATGGGGTCAGAGGAGTTTTAGGCAGAAAGGTAGGAAAAAAGCAAGGAAAAGTAGGAAGAATCTTTTTCTCGTTTATGTGCTTTTTAACATCAAGCTGTGCCCCATACCACCAGTACTGTCCTCCACCCGTTGAAAATGGGGTGTTAATGGTTGTTATGGGGTCAGAGGAGTTTTATTTGTAGGAGTGTTTATTGCATCTCCCCCAAGCTTCCCCTTCAACGGTGTGCAATTGCATTTTGCAGGTGCCACAGACAAGGCCGGCTCCAGAGACATCCAGGTTGGTTGATCTTCTTTCAAGGGGAAAAACCCAGCTTTGGCTGGAGCTTTGTGAACTTTACTGGCTGTGTTTGCTGCTGCTGCGTTCGGTGGCACAGCTCTGAAAAAACCCTCTCCTCCCTGCGGCTGCTAAATCGCGGCTGCGCAGAGGGACCGCCTGAGCTCGCCCTTTTCACTGCCCAGAAGAAAGCCACCTCGAGCTGGCTGGGGCTTCTCACCTCTGCTCCAGCGCTGCGACACGTTGGCGTCAGCTTTCGTTCGCTTGTGGAAAGCATTAATGCCAGCAGCGTGCCCTGGGTGCCAAGAAGGCCAATGGCACCCTGGGGTGCATTAGGAGGAGTGTGGGCAGCAGGGCGAGGGAGGTTCTCCTCCCCCTCTGCTCTGCCCTGGGGAGGTCCCATCTGCAGTGCTGTGTCCAGTGCTGGGCTCCCCAGTTCAAGAAAGATGAGGAGCTACTGGAGAGAGTCCAGCGCAGGGCTGCAAGGATGAGGAGGGGACTGGAGCATCTCTGCTACGAGGAGAGGCTGAGGGAGCTGGGCTTGTTCAGCCTGGAGAAGAG